ACCACTTACAGCAAGAAGCGTTGTAATTGAGGCGAATCAGTGTCTAGACAATGGTAGACCCCCAGGAAATGCTTATTACATAATCATCCCCGCCGCCAATTGGACCCCTCGCAACGGTCAGCGCCAAGCTAAACTTTTGGACCTGCCCGAGCTTTTGTAGATCAGCTTAAACAATTTCAGTGGCCTCACCCAACTTTTCCCCCTCCTCCTCTCCCAATTCCCACCTCCCTCACCACACCCGGCGCAACGAGTATGCTCGCGGCACCATGGGTCTGCCGTCGGTGTCTGGGCTCGTTCCTGAAACCCAGGACGACCCATTTCATCCGCCGTGCTAGCACAGGCAAGCTCCCGTCCCTCCAGTGCCCCTCCATCACCAAACTAACACACCCCTCCAGAAACCCAAACAGCCCTCCCCCCAGCCCTCCTCCAACGCGCGCGCACCCTCGCAAAAGAACACGCCGACCTCTCCGCGACCCTCGAGACCGACTACGACTCCAAGACCGCCCGCCGCATCGGCGAGCTCTCGAGCGTCGTCACCGCCCTGCGCGAATGGGAAACCGCCCATGCCTCCATCGCCGAGCTCACCGGCATGCTCTCCTCTAAGGACAGCGAGCTCCGCGACATGGCCCGCGACGAGCTCACCAGCACCACCGGCCACCTCGCCGCCCTCTCGCGCAAGCTCTCCGCCTCCCTCACGCCCCGCGACTCCTTCGCCCACATGCCCTGCCTGCTGGAAATGCGGCCGGGCCCCGGCGGCCTCGAGGGCCGCTTCTTCGCGGACACCCTCTTCAAGATGTACCGCCAGTTCTGCGCGCGTAAAGGCTACCGCGTGCAGGTGATCAAGTACGAGATGGCCGACGCCGCCGGCGACACCTCCAGCGCGGCGGGCGAGCAGCCGCTGCAGGAGGCCATCATCGAGGTCCAGGACCCCGGCGCGTACGACGTCTTCCGCGGCGAGGCCGGCATGCACCGCGTGCAGCGCGTCCCGGCGACCGAGAGCAAGGGCCGCACGCACACGAGCGCCGTCGCCGTGTGGGTGCTGCCGTCCTTCCCGGAGAACGGCAGCGCGGAGGAGGACTTCAACAACCCGGAGTCCGACTTCTACATCGACCCGCAAGAAGTGAGGATCGAGACGATGCGCGCGCGCGGCGCGGGCGGACAGCACGTGAACAAGACGGAGTCGGCGATCCGGATGACGCATCTGCCGAGCGGGACGGCGGTGAGCATGCAGGACTCGCGGTCGCAGCAGCGCAACCGCGAGGGCGCGTGGAAGCTGCTGCGGTCGCGGGTCGCGCTGCAGCGGCGCGAGGCGCGCGAGGAGGCGGCGGCGCAGCTGCGCAACTCGGTGCTGGCGAAGAACAGGATCACGAGGGGGGATAAGATCCGGACGTACAATTACCAGCAGGACCGCGTGACGGACCACCGCGCGGGCATCGACGTGCACGACCTGCCGGATGTTGTGGCCGGCGGGGAGATGCTGGATAAGGTGTTTGACAGCGTGAAAGAGTGGATGGTGTCGCAGGACATTGAGGCCATGATGGCGGAGGAGGAGGCTGCCGCTTTGGTGGCGGAGAAGAAGGCGCAGAAGTGATGCATGCGCTTGTTGTATAGACTTGTATTATACTGTAGACGATCTAGACATGACCCCCAAAAGCGAAGATTACTGAGATTATTCACACAAGAATTCACGATTCGACAATCTTGGCTGCTGGTTGCCCGCAGCGGAGTGATTTCACAAGCCTCAGCCGCGGGGGAGATAACCATGGGACATCCCAGCGACAAATTTCTCTGCTGAGTTGTCAACCGCACAAAATTCATCCAAACCCCAAACGAGCTTCTCTGCAGATCGCCAAGGCCTGGGACAGTATGCTTAAAGGGACCATGGCTGTGCGGCTGCGACTGCGAAACACGCCTGATTGCCGTCTCGTCAGGGTCCGGAGATGTCAAGTCTGGAAATTGGTCGTGTCTGTCGCAGACCCCACAAGTTAGCATGCCGTGTCGGACAGCCGATGGAGGTCGTCTAAGAAAGCTTTTGATGCGATTTAACCGTGAGCTTGAGACATGGCGCCATCCGGAGTTACACCAAAATTTCGATGAGACCACTGTCGAACGATGTTTGGGCCACCTTGTGAAGATTGAAAATTTTACATTTTTTGACTACATAAGTGTCAGATACAAGAGAGGGGATGTCATACAGCGTTCGGCATGACAGAGGAGCCCAAAATTTTTGTTGTTGTCCGTCGTGATCCTTTTTTGCCTGAGAGATCCTCTCTCCAACCGCCAAATCAGCCATGAAGACGCCGCGCTATGGTCATAGAATAATGTACAACAAGGGGGGAAGGTACAGGAACGAGGAGCGGACTCGCGGACTACCACAGCCGTAAAAAAAACGAAGGCTTCATCCATGGTGTACAATGTGTGCTCTCTCCCGCAGTCCGGGTCACACGCTCCAAGTCCGTGAGATGAGAATGCTCAAGCCAATTGGCGTTCTCGTCTCATCATCTCCAGCACGCCGACGACGCCGTTCTTCCTAAGCCTCTCGAGAACGACTCGCATGCCCTCACGGCTCTTACCCATCTGGTCCTGTGTCTTGCTGGAAGCCAGGTTCTCGATGCTGCGCTGGATGCCTCGCGCACCAATGCCGCTCATCCAGCCAGGCATCCAACGGCCCTCCTTCTGCTCCGGTTGCTCCGGGGTGGCATTGGCCTGGGGCATATCCTTCTTACCCCCACGTAGCCTCTCGCCGAGACGAGATCTGTAGATAACGGTGGTCGTCACATCGGTCGCGGCATCAGCGGGGGCATCCGCGGGAAGGCGGAAGTCCTGCTTCTCAATGACAGAAAGGACGTTCATGAAGTTGAGGTTGCGACTCTCCGTGCGCATCCAGCCCTCACGGACGTCGACGACGGATGTCTCGAGGACGTAGCTCGCTTTTTCAGCAGAGCCGCCGCCGGTGATGGAAGCCGGGAGGAGCTTGAAGACGGGCGCAGGCATGCGCGACTTCTTCAGGTGGATGCGTGTCGTGTGCAGCCTGCCCGTGGCCGGGTCGAGGCGGCTGTCGATGGTATCGGTGCTGAGAACATGGGTGGAGAAGGGATTGAGCTTGGGGGACGAGTATCGGAGGAAGTAGGCGAGCGTGACGGTCGGGAAGGGGTGGGAGTAGGTGTGGTTCGTCGAGTGGGTGAGGACCATCTTGTATGTGGCAGGTATTCGGGGTACGGGTTATTTGCGTTGTTGGTGTCGATATGCAGGTTCGTACTTGGATTGGAGTCTTCGATATTTTTGCGTGCGAGAAAGCGCTCACGTTTGTCGGGACGCAAGGGGCGTTGACATCGAGGGCCTTGCGCGGGCGACCCAATGCAAATTTTGGAGGTGTCTCAAGAGTGCTAAAAATGAAGCTATATCCGCCGCGGAAGCTCGGCCACCGAGTCGTCGGTATTTGTCGGTTTCGGTGTTTGCTTGATGCAAGTTGCGCTCGCAGGTGAGGGGCGGAGGACAAGACTGAAGAGAAGAGAGGGAGAGAAGGGGATGACGGCCGCACTCGAAGAGATGAGGGGGTGGGAGGGTGTTGATGATGAGGAGAAGGCGGAAGATGAGGAGATGGGCGGAGGGGAGGAGTGCGGCGCTGGAATGATGTAGAGTGCAACGACACCCGTGCGTACATCGAACGATAGGTCGATTGATTTTGGGGAAGAAGCTTCCGTGCCGTGCCTGCGACTTTCTTTTTGGTCAGCGCCTGCCCGCCAATTGGCGCAGGGACCCCAACTCCAGCGAGCAGCCCAGGGCGGCCACAGACGGTCCAGAGTGTCGCCGGGATTTTCCAGCCAGTGGGAACAGGCGGCAATTGGCTTTGTCCGCAGCGACGGCACCATCCCATTGGCTCGACGATCCCACTGCGCCCGCTTTTCGTCACACGAGCTTGGGCCTCCTGGGTGGCGAAAATCACATGATGCGGAGTACACCGAAGCTCACCGAGAGCTATGGTGAGCTGTCACGTCACTGTTGCTTTTGAGCCTCACCTTCGCCCCACCTTGAAACAGTACCTCATTCCCAGCGTTCCATGCCTCTCGCGATGTGTGGTCTGTTTGAGTTTCTGGATGAAACACTCCGCGGCAACGGCGGCTGCTTCGTGAGCTGCTTTCCAATCGAGGGAGATTGCCTGCAAACCCCGGACTGTCTGTTCTTCTGGCGACAAAGGGAGCACGGCTGCTGCCGGGGTAAGTGCTGCAGCTTTCCCCAACCCTCGAATCCCGAGTCCTGATTGGCTCGCGCTCGGCGTTCGAAGAACAGCGATGAAGTTTCGATGAAGCTAAGCCGTCCAACTAACTTCAATCAACATGACTAAGGTAACGCGGGGAAGGAGGAATGCAAAATGCATGAATCGATCCCCTACCTTGGTGGTGGATCTCGATGTAGTTCAACAACATCATCACTCAGTGAACGACGGAGAAACTACTTGGCCATGATGCCGACACATGCCTAATTTCGACGAGGCTTTTGAGAAGATTCAGGCAGAGTGTACGAACAACCTCAGCAGCCGAGCCCTTGGCTTGATCGAAGGGTCAATATTTCTTTGACTTTGATATCACGAAGGGTAAAAACTTTCAACGAGTCAATACACCCAACCATACCTTCGTATCTCATCCCAAAGCCGGTCAGCCGCCAATACGAAGCAATGCTAACAAAAACACCAGTGATACTGAAGTCGATAGTGAGAGCTAACAGTACAAGAGTCGACGAGGCATGCCAGCAAGGACTGGAACATGACCAAAAAGGGCTACGCATCTGTATGTCACAGAATATGAGTTGGAAGATTCTCGACGAGAATGAACTTTTAGCTTGCTTGTTGTACCATTGCTACTAAAGAAGTACCTAGTCGGGTACGGGTATTGATGCTCTCATCATCTGTGGAGCAATGCCAAGTATTAATACAATCAAACTATCCAGTAACGCCTAACCCAGACCCAGTCTCAACCGCCACGAGCCGTCCTCAACTTCTTCTAGAACCTCGTCATAGACTTGCGTTGCCCTCGAGACTTGGTATTCGTTCTAGCCGGCATGGAGCTGGGCGGGATCGACCTCCTTCCGACTGCCGCATTGGCTGTTGTTCTCGCCGGCGGCATGCTCTTCGCTCGAGAAGGCTTGTTCTTCTTCACCCAGCCAGACCCATGCGGTAGACTACTGCTTTTCTCCTGGTAGTCGTCATCAATCTCGTCTTCAGCATAATCCTCTTCTATGGGCGGTTCGGGCGAGGATGACACCGAGATAACCTGGGAACCATCCGGAATGACAAACGGAGAGCTCTGGCTCTTGCGCTTCGTAAATCGAATGAAAGGCTTCTTTGGCTTAACATCTTGAGACTCGCTGAAAGATGATGGTGCCGTCTTGGGCATCGGTCTCATGTCGGGTAATTCGGGCGATCTGGACGGAGCTGGCTGACTTGAGTTGGGAAAGAGCTGCTTGCGGGTGCCCCTGAAGGCCCGCGGCGACTCGTCGTCCTCGTCCTCTCCATCGTCCTCGTCCTCTCCATCGTCCTCGTCCTCTCCATCGTCCTCGTCCTCTCCATCGTCCTCGTCCTCTTCATCATCCTCTTCCTCTTCACCACCCTCGTCCCCTTCTTCGTCAATGCGTCGCATAGCAGCCTCGTAATCTGTGTCGAGCTTCACAATTGACTTGCGGGATTTGATGTCCGAGAACACTTGTGACTTGGAGGGACTTTCCGTATTCTGTGTGCTTGGTTGCGTGGCTTCGAGAAAGATGTCTTCCAATGACGGGAAGGACTCGGTTGTGCCTGGCTCAACAGGCGACTTGTTCTGCCGAGGGGGCGTCTGGACATTCGCCTTGGGTGTGGAGGCTCCCAAGATTGGTGAACCATCGCCAGTGTCATTCATTGGAACATCGTCGCCACCTGTATGGAAACTGAAGTCGTCGTCTGGTTGCCGCCCGCTGCGGACGCTAGTCGCAGAGGAGGGTGGTGGGATAGAGTCGCTTTGAGGAGGGACTGGTGTGGTATCCTTTAAGGAGCTCCCCTCGGGTACAGGAGCCTCGGACGATCGGCTGTTGGCTGCCTCCGACATCTCCATAAGTTGGCGAGTAGGACTGCTTGTTTTGCGTTGCAAGACAGACGGGGAAAGGTCTTTACGGAAACCCGCTTCCTCGATCATCAGACTGATTTCATGGCGGCGATCCGAAGAGATTGAGAATGCAGTAGGGGCTTGGCTGGTTCCCGACTCCTGAGATTCCTCCGTTTCAACAACGACATTCTTGACTTTAGCTTGTGCACTGGCTTTGGGTGTCGCCACGTCGTCTTCATCAGCTTCGTCTTCAATAGAATCTGCGGGCTGTGCATCGTCAACTGGTGGCTCAGGGTTTGAGGTCGATTGATCCTGTTCCGAAGTGTCGACGACCATCTCATCATGCTCAGCAACGACCTGAGACTGTCCATCACCCGTGTTAGCCTTGGCCTGATCATCCTCTGCATCGATTTTTGACTGACTTCCATCTTCATCCGCCTCGGGCGGGCTGGCGTTCTTTCCAGGGAACTGAGAGAGCTGGCTCTGGGTGTCGTAAACGGTTTCGTGAATGACGCTGTCAGTGGGGCCACTCGACTCTTCGTTGACGACTGGCATCTGCTTGTCGTCCAGAGGGTCTTGAAGAATCTTGGGCTCAATCAGCTCCGCAAACGTGATCCTGCGGTATCCGTCATCGAAACCCGACTCATCGTCGTCCTCATCGTCGTCTGGAGCCTCAAAACGGTCGTACACACGCTGTCCGGTGCTTTCATCGTAGACCTTCTCTTTTCGATCATGATCCCGGTCTCGTTGAGCCAGCAAGAACTCAAAGTCGGTGGCATCCTCGTCGAAGACTCTGACCAAAATACCAGTGACGTTGATAACTTCGGGTTGCCAATTAGTTTGAGTCGACAAAACCCATTGTTTCCATGTGATAACCATGCCAGCCTTGGCCGCACCTGGCCGAAGTTCCGGAAGTGTGGTCAGGTCGTCCGGCAACGAGGGCAGATCCTCGACATCCGTCATCTGGCTCTCCTCAGGTCGGGGCTTTGGCGCGGCCGGTTCCTCGACCGGGTCGTCGTAGTTCAGTGTTGTGTCTCCTTCCTCAACCCCCTCCGAGAAGGTCATGATGCTGTCATCACCCTCTACCCGACGCTTCTTCGACGATTGAGAGTCCCCGTCGTCATAAAATTGAGCTTGATTGCGCTGTACGCGCTTACGTTTGCCCCCGCGCTTATTCTTCGAACCAAACCATTCCTCCACTTGCTGTTGGGGGTCCCACCGCTGGACAAAAGGAAATGGCGGTTCCGAGAGCTCGACACCCTCGTGGCAGCATTCTACGGCTCGGTAAGCGATTTTCTCGCGCCAGGCTTCGGGATCTTCCTCTACCGATTCTTGAGTCTGGGCGGATTCGCCAGACTGCGATGCTTCCGTCAGACGTGCATTGGTGTGCGGTCGCACGCCTTTCATCAGTTCTTGCCTGATCTTGTCCTCATCGGCCTTGGTCTTTGGGTTCTTGAGACCCAAGGATCCCATCAGCATGCGCCTCGCAGCGCCGACATTGGGCTTCATGCGGCGCTGGGCAGATTCCTCTTGAGTAGAGGGGTTTTGAGAAGCCTCAGCGTGCTCAACTTGCGAGGAGTCTTGAGGAGCGGAATCTGGGATTTCGGGCGACTTCTCTTGGCTCTGAGACTCCTCAGGCGCATCTGATACGAAAGCCTCGAGCAACGCCTTCTTCCTTGCCAAAAGGACTGCAATGTCATCTGGAGTCTCGGGGGCTGTCATCTGGGACGGCTCTCTGCTGATCTGTCCTGATACTGAACTGCCCTGCGCCGCGGACTGCTTGGCAAGTTTACGCCTAGCATTTCTCTTCTGAGTTTTAGTCAGGCCTTGGCCGGGAGGGACAGTTGGCGTGTGGACAACTGGGGCGACCGCAGGAGTTGCCTTGGTTGGCTCTGGAGTTATGACGGGCTGCAAAGTCTGATACTGCTTGCTCAAAGTTGTAGCAGGTATTTCTTCAGGTCCGGAGTCGGAGTCGGAGTCTGAGTCCGAGCTGGAATCGTCGCTGCTGCTTTCCTCGTCAGACTCTGAAGAATCGGACGGCGAGTCTAACGAAGAGTCGGATGACGAGCCCGAAGATGAGTCCATATCCACGTCGGCAGGTGCACCTTCAGAGGACCGCCTGTCTGCGACAGCCCTTGAACCATCACTGCCAGAGTCTGAGCCAGACTCTTCAGGTATATCCTGGTCGGCAGCCTCTGAATTGTCGTCCGATACGGATGCTTCTTCTCCAGACTCGCTAGAGTCATCGGAGGAAGAGTCTTCTGAGCTTTTGTCCACGTCATCCATCTCTTGATCAGAATCCGACTCGGACGCTACCGCACTCGATTCAGAGCTGGATTCAGAGTCAGACGATTCGGAGGACAGCTCGTCCTTTTCATCCTTTGAATCAGGATGAGTGTTGTGGTTGAGGGTCTCAGACGCCTCGTCGCTGTCGTCATTCAGCTCGTTGCTCATGTGTTCCTCAAGCTCGTTCGCTGCGCTGTCAGAGTCTTCCTCAGAACTCGTTTCTCTGAGCACCAGCTCACGTCCTTCGTTACGGTCGCTATGCCGAATGGGGCTGCTGGACAGGCTTCTCTCCTGGCGCTCCAGCATTTGAAGAATACCAAGCTGGGCGCTGAACTTCTTCGAAAGCTTGCGGTATGCTCTTTCCGGGTCTGAGTCGCACCTGAGCAATGTTGGCTCGACGATGGCGAAGGGTGCAGTGGGGAACGCAGCTCTCAAAGCTATGATCTTGTCGAGAAAGTCCATGCCTGTGGACGTCCTGGTTGCAGACCTGACCAAAGCATTGTTGGCCGATGCCACAGGGGATGCGCGACGGGGCGGGGTCGAATGTAAGGTCTCCCGCGATCCGCTCGATGCCCTCTTGCCACGAATGCTGCGCAACTCCTCGAGGAGGTCACCTTCTCTAACGGCGGCGTTGTCTTCGCTGATGAGACGCAGCTCCTCTCGTATCTCATCGTCCTCGCTGCCCATATCCTCATCGTCGTCGCCATCTGCGCCGGGCTCGAATTCGTCGTCACCTTCTTCATCTCCGTCTGATTCGGCGTCGTAGAAGCGGGCGCGAAGCTTGACGCTCGAAGGGTCTTGATGGGCTCTCGTCGACGAATCGTACTCGATCATGGGAAGCTCTGTATCATTGCTGGTTTCCGACGGGGAATCGTTTTCGTCATCGCTGCTGTAGGTGATGCGAGCCTTCTTCCTTGGCGGAAGGGCCACGTTCGGTCGGTCGCGGGGGGGCTTGAGCCATGAGCGTCCGTAGGCGAGGCCATCCACCAAGTGTCTGCCATCGGATGATATCTGGTGCCTGCCGCTGAGCTTTCGCCTCTTGAGATCGTCGGTAAGGAGAGGTCGGATGCTAGAACCAAGTTAGCCTTGCACTCAGAGATGCGCGCCGGACGCAAATGGGTTGACTTACAGGACTTGGTCATCTTCCTTGAGCACCTTGGAGACGAGGTGGTAGTGGACGCACTCGAAGCCGTCGCCGGAGGCATCCTTAAGCTCCACGGCGTAATCCTCGAGGCCCCATTCGCCGCTTTCGAGGGGAATCACCTCGTTGACTTCCGCGACAAGTTTCGAGATGGTCAGATCCTCATTGGCGGTCGCATTCCAGAGGAGCTTGACGTCAGGCACGCCGTGGCGCCGCACCACGAGTCGCAGCCGCAAGTCTTTCTCCATCTCTTCCGAGATTGATATGCCGTTGGTTGGTGCGGTTAATACATGTAGTCGTCGGGTTTTTTTGGTCAAATGAAAACAAAATGAATCGCTGGAGCCGAGCTTTTTTCGCAGAGTAACAACTGTTTGACCGGGGAAAGCAGACAACAGGCGAGAGACGGCGGATAAAGTGATTGAGGCAAGGGAGCGAGACGCGCGTGGGGGAAGGTGAAAGCTCCAAGCGCGACTGACGCAAATTCTGGAAAGTGGGGCCGATTTATCCCCAGGGTCCGCTACCTTAAGATACTTCCCGTCATTACCTAGCTTCCATGTACCTGGAGGACCTGGGAGCTCAACGACATCAATTAAATCTGTTCAGCATCACATCAGTTTCCGAATTTTTGGAGATTCGATACAAGGAACTCGCTTGATTCGCAACAAGTCTCCATCTTGCTTCCTCACTCCTAAGGTCGCAATACGAGCATGAGCAACAAACGACTGGTATATTTTTGGCCTCATGAGCCACAACCCGATTTCAAGGTCTTTCACTCAGCAGCACAACTCCCCGTCCCTGCATGCTGCTACTGCTGCCTGCAGGTTGTGCAACCACCGACAACCATCTCAGTCATTTTCCATGAAATTGCCATCCAATATGAGTCCAGGGACCGTCAGTAGATACTATGAACAATGACAGGTATGTCAGATATTCCCAGTGACAAATATGCCAATGCGCCATTCCCAGGTATTCGTGTCAATCCGAACGCCGTCTATGCTTGTAACCAAAACCCTCACTGCCCTCCTTTCTCCTTGTCCTACGGCGTCTCTCCAACTCCAAAGCCGCTTCCCGGCCGTGTAGCCTATGAAGGCATGCCGCCCATATCAAGCATATGTCCCATCTTTTCAATCTGCACCTCTGTTAGCGACCAACTTGCTCGACAGCCCAATGGGGCCAAGCTCACCTTCGTCTTGAGGTACCCCTCAACCTCCTGGCTCCTGAACCCTCCCCGCCCCTTCCACGACAACGGCACCATCGCCACGCGCTCCGTCACCCTGACCTCGCGGTTCGGTCCCTCCACCGCGCGGATCTTGTCCGGGTTGTTCGTCAGCAGGCGCACCTCGTGCTGCCCCAGATCCAGCAGCATCGCCGTCGCGAGCCCGTAGCTCCGCGCATCAGCCGGGTGCCGCAGGAGCAGGTTCGCCTCGACGGTGTCGGACCCCAGGTCCTGCAGGTTGTACGCCTTCAGCTTCTCGCCGAGGCCGATGCCGCGGCCCTCCTGGCGCAGGTAGATGATGATGCCGCCGTTCGTGTTGCCGGGCAGGCTCATCAGCCGCGCCGCCTCGTCGAGCTGCTCGCCGCAGTCGCACCGCGCGGACCACGCCGTCTCGCCGGTGTAGCACTCGGAGTGAATGCGCACCAGCGCCGGACCGCGCTGCTGCGCCGCGTCCAAGGGCGACGGCTGCTCGCCGACGGGGGTGGCCACGCCGCCGGCCATGCCGCTGGTCGTGCGGCCGGGGAACAGACGGCCCGTGTAGGCGCCGCGCACCATGCGGTCCATCTCGGTCTCGCCGGGGCGGGGCTCATCGAGCGACTTGCTGCGGATGTGCGGGCCGAAGACGATGGCCAGGTGCTCCTTGTTGTCGACGTTGTTCGTGTACAGGTGCAGGAACATCTCGGTGCCGGTGACGGTGGGGATGCGCGCTCGTACGATGCACTGCACCTCGGGCAGGGTCTCGAGGAGGCGGGGCCGTTTGGTCCCCGCGCCGCCCGAGGGGATCGAGCTGTCGACGGGCACGCCGCGGGGAGCCTCGGAGCCGGTGAGAGGCGTTGCTGTGCCGGGGGTCGCGGGCGGCGTGAAGGCGGGCGAGAGGAGGGAGGGCGGTGGCAGGGCGGTGTTGGCGGTCGTTGAGGCGGCATCGTCTTCGGCTCGCGCGGGGGCGGCGGGGTCGGACAGGTTCAGGTCGTCGGCTACCTCGTGGGTGGAGGATGCAGCTGCCGATGTCGTGCTGTCGGCGGCCTTGGTTCGAGGAGAGTAGAAGGAGGGGAGCTGGTTGGTTTCCTCGCGCCAGTCCTTGGGCGCATCGCCGGCCGCTGGCTTCGCTTCAAAGTCGGGCATGGCGGGGGAGATGGGGGGTTGGTTGCGAGGGCGGAGAGGCGATGTTGGTAATTGCTGGTCAATTCAATGCCAATGGGTATTCATGCGCAGAATAAAACGAATTCCAATTGAAGACACGCCAGGGTCGCAAAGCAAAATATTGCAGGAGACGGACAAAGTAATACGGGAGGCGACACTGAATCTGGGAGTGTCGGGTAATGCACATTTAATCGCGGCGACCGGTTCCGCTCCGAACAACGAGGTGGTGAAGTGCGGTTCAATTAGTCATGCAGCCAAATGATGACAGCGCGGGTGCATCTGTGTGCCGGCGGCATTACACTTTGGGCCAAGTGCCCGCCCGTTCCAGGCAATGTTCCTTCTGAAGGGACACCTGGAGGCTGGAGGGGCCGTCTTTCGCCGAGGTTCCAGGCAGAGCGCCGCGCGCGCGGGGCGGACTTTCCCAGTGTCTCGAGCTCGGATTCCAGGGTCTCTTCAGCGGGGTCGGCTGTTCCCCTCGCTGACTTTTTGTGCGAGGGAACGCCGGCCGCTCGGGTGGGGTTCGGTGATTACATCATCTCATCCTGGAATCGGCTAATCACGACAAGTTGGACCTGCTCTGCGATTGTCGGTCATTTTGCAATACTATTTGAAAAATATGCAAATGATCTGTATTGAATCTGAAACGGATGATTAGCTACGCTTGGCCGTGAAACTTTAGCCTTCAGCGACGTCTACTTCCAGAGCGTAATCATTTTTGTGGTGATCCTCGCCGCCGTATGTGAGACCATGATAGTTGATGACGACTTTACCCGAGTTCCGGCTTAGATCCATCCATATCCATAATCATTTCGTTTATCTCAAAGTGAGCCTCTATCAATCATCGGAAACACACCGCGCGCTTGATTTTTAATGCTGACAGAGGAATCCTAGACCTCATCGGCAGACCTCATCTCTCATTGGCCGCATCTTTCAAGATTCTCCACGTTCGGCTCGCCTCTTCCCAGGTCACCCACAGCCAACGGCCCGTCCGCTCATCCACAACACCATCACAAGCATCAACTCCTGTTCCCAGCCGCAGCAGCAGCAGCAGCATAGCAAAGTGAACGGCCACCACACACCTTCGTCATGCGCAAAGCATGTCGCACACTCTCTGTCCTCAGGAAGCCCATTCGGAAACATCCATAGAGATGCCCCGTCCGATCCCCCCTCTCCTGCGGGTTCCTGCATCCCGAATTGGCCGCCCCATCCCGGCCTCCCGAAACATTATTTCGTCCTCTCCCGACCACACAAACCACCACCGCACCAAGGTGTTGAGAACGTCGAAAAGTTGCTGACACGGTATGCATATCCGTCCAGAGAAAACTTGAGGCCCGCCAAGCGGCCCCCGATGCAATGATGGATCCCACCCCGGCCCTCGCATCCATGACAACCACTGTTCGGCCGCGGCCCAACCAAAGGCAAACCAACCCATCAACCCGCATCGTCGCGTCTATGCGCTGTCACTGAGTGACTCACACACAACCTCACCTCACGCAAAGGAGGAAAAAAAAAAAGGACCACCCCCATGCAACAACCACCAACCCGTGTTTCGTTTCCCTTGCAAAGCCAACCACACCGCGCCTGTCTGCGAAGATGCCATGCCAACAGCCCGCGCAAGTGGCGCGCAATCCATTGGCCAACGCGCTCCCGCGCCGCTACGCCATCGTGGCAACCCAGACCAACCAGCTCTCGGTGCCCTGCAACCACTTACTGCGTTTGCCGTTTCATACCCATCCGGCGGTATGGAGATCATCAGGCACCGTCTTTGTTTACACTTTTTTTTTTCGCATTTGCAGACACAAGACAGACAGACTGAGAAGAAAAAAATTCTCCTTGGTGGTTCAGGTCCCACCATGCAGCCGTCAACCGAGTGGTTGTCGATTTCTTGTTTTCCGGCTCGAGTGGCCAACAACAGCACACGCTGCCGTCGTCCAGTGGAGGCTTTCCCTCACTCCCTTGCAAGACGCACCTGGCGCACAAAAACATCGCCAACTGTCCAACCCCAGTCTCTCTTACTGGTGTGTATAAGAAGATCGAGTGACTTCCTTCCGTCTGACACCTTTCCTCCCCTCCGTTTTCCAATCTCGACTAGTAAGAACCTAGCAAACCCATACAACACTTAATCAAACGTTCATTCAAAGGATCTGAGAAAAGGATTCCTGGCAAGGTCTATTCGGAGCGACGGCAGACAACCACATACGATACTATACAACATACCACCTCGCTCTCATCTGCACTCATTAATATCGTCTTACACACACTTTCGTTGTTCACTTCAATCTGTACTTTCACTTCACCGGCGCCGACTTCAGTTCACCGTCTTTCAAACACCATCACCACACATCACACACCAACACCACTCACAATGGATCACAACAACGTAATCGCCTGGCTGCTGCCCACATCAACAAACCAGCCCGCCCTCGAGGCCGTCCGCCTGCCCGAAAACACCAACCGCCGCATCGCCTCCATCCCCTCCTCCTTCGAGCCCCTACCGACACCCAACCCAGACAACACCACAATCAACCCCCTCCTCCTCAACAAGACTACCTCGCCCACCACCACATCCACCTCCAAACCCCGCCCGGCCCTCGAGCTCTCCTTCACCAACCCGCCCAAAAACCACACCGGCTTCGTCCTCGGCACCGACCCCGGAGCCGACATCCTCCTCCCCTCCCTCCCGGGCATCGCCCCGCGCCACTGCGTCCTCACCTTCGACGCAGAGCGCCGCCTCATCCTCCGCGACACCTCCGCCACCGGCACCGCCGTCTGGTACGACGCCTCCTCCAACGGCGACCGCGCCCGCGAGTCCTGGCTCCTCTCCGCCGGCACCTCCTACGGCTTCCCCTCCATGGTCGACCGCCTCGTCATCGACATCCAGACCGTCCGGCTCCAAGTCATCATCAACGACGTCGCGCCCCTCAGCGACCCGGACGCCTACGAGCGCAACGTCGACGCCTTCATGGACCGCCTCGCCACCCTGACGCTGGACGAGATCAGCGCCCGCGAGGAGCTGAGCTTCGACCTCGACTTCCGCGATTTCGGCATCGACTTCAGCTTCGACGACCTCAGCTTCGGCCGCGCGAGCGGTGTGGGCGCGTATGAGGACGACGGGCTCATCGGGTACGACTACGAGATGGACGTCGACGACAGGCGGGACTACCTCCCGCCCCTGCCCTCCGAGGTGGCCCCCGTCTTCGTGAAGTACATGTTCGCCTCCGACGACGGGCTGCCCCCGGACACCTACCTCTGGAACACCGCCCGGCCGTGGGAGCCTATGGTCAAGGTCACCTGCTGATCATACCGAAGCCCAACCCAACCGGGGGAAAAAAAAAGAACGAAAAACAAAAAAAAAACCAACAACACTGTCACTCATTTAATGTATAGACTGGGAAGGAAGCGCGGGAAGTTTTGTAACAACAACCGGTTCACAAAGAGTTGACAGCATGTCTAGTCAGTGCTGGCACACCTGACGGCGATTCTCTCATATAATATCTGGCGTTATTTTCGGAGCGGCGGCGTCCAGAACCACGTTTTTGGCATGACGACGAAAGATTTCCAACTGCGACAAATACGCGCACACACACTCATTCAGACCCCCCAAGAGATTGGCGTCACGTCTTCCCCGGGATAGCATAGCATACTTTCTTCTGTATACATCTAGTGTAGATACCCCCCTACATAGCTGGAATACCCACCAGCAAAACACACTTCACATCAAAAATCAAAAAATCAAAAGAGAAATTACCAAACAACTGATCCAACTCAAATCGTCTTTCTCAAAATCCCATGATTCGCCCCATGGGTGGTGGTTTTGGCCATCTCCCACTTCGCACTTCACCGCTCTCCCCCATCTTCCGAACTTCTTCGTCCCAACTATCTGACCCATCATCAACTCCCCAAATCGCCCCGTGATTTTTTCGACTCCGCGGAGCCCAACGAGCAAAGACCATATAAAGGGCGGAGCGCAGAGGGAGAGTGCCTCTGCTGACCGCTACGCTTACCACGCTTGGGGGGGATCAGTCGCGGCGCCGGACCACCAGACGGCTCGGGACACCATTAAGAAAAAAAGCGCATGATACCGCCACTTCTAGAGCACACCACCAGTAAACCTCGGAGGCATGCGGTGACGGCCCGAGCTCTATTTTGCACAATCGCCCAACGGCCGGTCCTCAGACCGAGTGGCCCACGAGATCCGACCGATACTTTAATCTTGGTCCTCCCGCCCTCCCTTAACCTGGCCCCGACACCACACCCACGCGCGTCATTCCGTGTATCATGTCTCCGCGGGTCGCTAATCTGGAATCAATTCGGGGCCAGCGGGAGGCGAGTGTGCTTTCTCTTCGTAGTGCGTGGGGCTCTTGAATCCTGCTTCCGAGGACATCGTCCTTTATATTGACCATGTTCGAACCTCGTTCCTAAAAAGATGCGTGCCAAGACTCTTGGCCAGAGAGTGTGATAAACCATCCCTTCAACAAATGCAATCGCAACCATGAACCCTCTAGCTATGGCCTCCGACGACCCGGAGCCCGACGAATCAAGCCCCCTCCTCTCGACAACATCCCAAAGCAGAATCTCCACCCGGCCACCGCCGCCGCCCTCCTCGCCTTCGACGCTGTCCCTCATCTCCAAGGCAGACTACGCCCTGGGACAATCCCCTTCCCAAGACGACCGCCTGCCGTACAGCAACTATGCGACAATCGACTGGCTGCGCGGCCTCACCGAGTCCTCCTCTCGCGCGCGCCGCCTCGATCGCCTGCCGGGCCTCCGGGGCCGCCTCCGCCGCTGCATCGACCGAGCTGAGGGCTGGATCGCCGCGGCACTGATCGGGGTGCTGACCGCCCTGGTGGCGTACGTCGTCGACGTGTCCATGGCGACGACGGCCGACTGGAAGGAGGGGTACTGCCGCGGCAACGTGTTCCTCGACCGCGGGAGGTGCTGTAGAAGCCCGCCCAGATCAGGGGTGTGCGAGGCGTGGAGGCCCTGGGTCGCCGGTAGTAGTGGCGAGGGCGTGTCTCTCGCCGCGTACGCCGTCTACGTCCTCGTTGCGCTGCTCTTCGGCGCCATCGCGGGCAACGTGACGATGACAACGAAAGCGTCCCTCCCAACAGCGGCCGCAGAGGACGGAGAGGGCAGCACGAAGACGATGTACATGGCCGCGGGCAGCGGGATCCCCGAGATCAAGAGCATCATCTCGGGCTTCGCGATCCCGCGTTTCCTCAGCCTGCGGGTGCTGCTCGTCAAGGCCGTCGGGGCGACCTTCGCGGTGTCGACGGGCATGTGCCTGGGCAAGGAGGGCCCGTTCGTGCACATCTCGACGTGCGTCGGGTGGCTCGTGGCCAACTGGTTCCCCAAGTACCGGGACAGCCCGCGCAAGCTGCGCGAGATGCTGAGCGTGGCGTGCTCGGCGGGCATGTCTGTGGCGTTCGGCGCGCCGATTGGTGGTGTGCTGTTCAGTTACGAGGTATATTTGATATGCTGCTGTTTGTGTTGTTGATGTAGTATTGGCCTGGCTGACCCGGACGACTAGGAAATCAGCACGTACTTCCCTCGTCGTGTGATGTGGAGGGCGTTTCTGTGTTCGCTGGTCGCGGCCATCGCGCTCAAGGCGCTGAACCCGACGGGCGGCGGGAAGCTGGTGCTGTTCGAGACGAACTTTGGCGTCGACCACGAACCCGTGCACTATCTCGTCTTCGTCTTCCTGGGCGTGTGTGGCGGCGTTTTCGGCGGAGTGTTTGGTCGATCAAACTACTTCTGGTCCAAGACTTTCCGGAGATGCGACATCGTGAAGAACCACCCCGTGCTGGAGCTCTGCGGCGTCGTGCTGATTACCGCACTGCTGCAGTTCCCAAACGCTCTCACCCGGGACACCGGCGACGTCGCTCTCTCGAAACTGCTGGTCAACTGCGAAGACCCGGAGGGCAAGTGGGTGTGCAAGCAGGAGCAGAGGTCAGACAGGACAGGGTACATACTCTCGCTCGCGAGCGGGACGCTGGCCAAGCTGGCGTTGACGACCATCACTTCCGGGTGCAAAGTGCCGTCTGGAATCATCATTCCGGCGCTGAATGCCGGCGCGCTGTTTGGGCGGTTGGTCGGGCAATTCGTCGGGGGTATATCGCCGGGCATATTCGCCATGGTCGGTGCTGCGGCGTTCCTCGCCGGCGTGTGCAGGATGACGGTGAGTTTGGCCGTCATCATGTTCGAGCTGACGGGCGAGGTGACGTTCATCCCGGCCTCGATGTGCGCCATCCTCACCGCCAAGTGGGTTGCGGACGCCATCTCTGCCGAGTCGGTGTACGAGCTGTCGCAGCACTTGTTGGGACACCCGTTCCTCGAGGCCGAGCAGGCGCACGAGGTCGTCAAGCACCGGGAAGCAACCGCGCGAGAGCTGATCCCTTCCCCTGAGACGATGGACGAGATCACTCTGCGCACGGGCAGAGAGTACCGCGTGTGTCAAGACGTGCTGGCCGACAAGTTGCAGAAGCTGCTGGCGAGGGGCCTGATGGATGCCGGTCTTGTGCTGGTGAATGAGGCGGGTCTGCTGTTCGGGTATTTGCCTCAGGCGGAGTTGGAGGCTGTTCTCCAAGTCCGCGGGGAGGCCGAGGAGATTGATTTGCGGTCGGGGATCATGGTGGACTTAGTCGACCGGACACCGTTGACAGTGAGTGCAGAGGCGCCGATGGAGCATGTCCTTGAGATGTTTGGGAAGCTCGGTCTGAGCTACCTGGTCATTCTTGAACCTGAAACAGCGAATGTGGTGGGCGTTGTGCTGAAGAAGCGGTTGCTGGGCTACTTGCATCGTACAAAGGTGCATAATTGAGGAGAAGCATTGTCATATTGGCTGTACCATAAAACCTACTCAGCATTGTCAACTTAACGTTAATGAAATATAATGTCTTGTCGCTAGTCTTGGGCCAGTGCTTAACTGGATGCGGAACGGTGACATGATGACTTTCCTGGATGCCTTTTCCCGGATTTCAACGGAACAGAGCGGATCAAGGACCTCGCCTCTGTCGCCCACACTTAACCCACGATGTGTTCCAACGTTTGCCCAGTGATGCCACCAGGGGCCAAACTCTAGTCGTTTCCACCTCCGTCTGCAATGCCCGATCGTAGCGCCCATGTCAGGTCCTTCGTCGTCGCAGTCTGCCCAGGTCGAAATAAAACGCAGTTGTCAGTCGCAATAACGTGAATTCGGCCTCGTTCTATGACCCTCGTGGCAAGTCCAAGTCCCCATTTTCGACCCTTTTGCCATGGCCCTTCAATGTCACAGGTTATATACACAGACGCGGCCGCCCCGGGCTGTCTTTGTCGGACCCCTCAGTTGCTTCTCGTACCCTTCTCCGCGCGGAGCTCGTTCATCTTGGCGACACGCTTCTTGAACTCGACGTACTGGCACTTCTCGTAGCTGTGGCGCTCGTCCTAGCCGTGGGGAATCATGGGTTAGCAGAGGGTTCGGTCCGTCGGGTGGCCTCTCGAGGCCGGGTTCGGGCAGCGCCGGGAACGACGACGGCATCTCGGGGGTAAACGAACATTGCACTTCCACGGCAGGTAGAAGGTATCGGTGCGGCAGCGGTTGAGGGGGATGAGGAGGTGGGCGCAGCTGTCGCGGTAGGCGAGGGGGAGTTTGGCGTCCCGCATCTCCTCGCGGGGCGTCTCTGCAGAGAAGGGTCAGCATGTTTGCGCAGTGTGTAGCATGACGGCGGAGGAACGGACCCCTGGGTTCGAAGTCTCCGGCCATTGTGACGGCAATTGGGGGTTTTGTGATGGGCGAATGGTTCGGTCGTCGTTGGTCAATCGGTCTTGAATTGTCGTCGGAGCTTTGGATTGGATTGTGGAGCTGCCGTGACGGTTCCCTTTCGGCCTCAATTGTCAGGCTGCCGGGTGACTGCTTACGTTTTGGGCATCGTGATTGGTCAATTTGGCGGTTCCGGGGTGCCTTCACTGGACTTTTCAGCGCACAGGCCTAAGAATCTATAGAGTTTGGCCTCCCGACACTCTATTCAACTTCGAAGCCCAAGTCAGGTAAAGATGAGAAATACGCATATTGAGCCTCAGTTGAGCTCTCTGTTCATCTAGAAGTTTTGCTTCACTTTGAAGGTTTCTTCTGGTGGTTGGCTGCTGCTCTCTAGACGTATCACTGTTCGGGCATTCCCCGCGTTCAGAAGACGGGCGCCGGAAATAAACGTCATAGCGAGTAAAGAGTCAAGTATGTATGACCAAGGAACAAGAGCCTAATACACTGAAGCCCTTCAGCGCGTTTCCCATGATGGTCCCTATTTTTCATGGTTCTCTCTCGAACACAAGTGTATTCAAAGTCATGTTCTTCAAGCTGGTACAAGGCCACCTCTTGCTTTTCTCAACTTATCTTGGGGCGGCCATTGACTGAAAACTTGGAGGCCATTCTGAAGACTCTTTCGGACAGCATACGACTCGTAGATCGTATCTAAAAGACGACCAGAAGCCTCAGATAAGCCCACCTCATGGACTCACATATCATCAATATCGTATCCCGCAATCAAAATTCTCCCCTCGACCACATTGAACATTACGTTATTCAAACGTGCTGTTGCGCCTCAGCTCTTTCAACCAACTCCTTTGGGCTCCCAGTCCAGAACAAAAGTTCCAACCCAAACTCCCTCACACTCTCACTAAAGCTCCCAGCAACATGGCCGATCCGAACCACCTTCCCGTTGGCGCAGGTCGGACCACAGACCGGAGACAGAAGTCCCTGCCGGACTGCCGGCGCGTGTCCACCCGACCTGGGGCCACACCGCAGCGTCGAATGCTCACCTTCCGCTTCGAGCTAACCTATCGGCCCACGCAAAATCCCACGCCAAATCCAATCTCCAACGTTGCCATCCATCCATTCCCAAATGCCTATCAGGAACCACCCCCGTCTCCATACCCGGCCGAGGCCAACCCCCGGCCTCATGTCCTCAACGTTACAATCACGACAATCCGTGCGTGCGCGATGGGCGGCCGGGATCGCATCGGGCTGGTCGTCCCCTCTTCCCGCCAACGGGGCCCAGAGAGCTTGGAAAGCTTGTTCCTGCCGAGGGTCGCAATACGGGACGCGTGCGCTGCGATGTTAGGCGACTGGATGCATGGTTCTTGCATATCGGGACTCATTTCGCCGGGATGATGGATGGGTCTGCTGCTTGCCCAGATGCTGCGCGACTCTTAAAAGAAAGCAGCTCCCCCGCTGTCGTTCCCGCGGTGCCTCGTCCCTTGTGTTGATCGAGTCGCAAAGTAGGCGTGCCGTGGTGTGTACTCGTTCGTTCTTGGCCACCGTAGTAGTGTCTCTGTCACCATGAAGGTCTCCCTCGCCTTGTTGGGCTGCCTCACGGCGGCTCAGGCCCATTTCGCCTTCCAGCCCATCCAGCCGCCCTTCAGGGCCGAGGACGACGAGGGCGGACTCGCCAAGCGTGACGCTCTGTACTTTGAGCAGCTCATCGACCATGATGCTCCTGAATTGGGAACCTTCCAGCAGCGGTACTGGGTCAACAGCACCTACTGGAAGGGCCCCGGCTCGCCGGTAAGAGCTGCCCATGAGTGTGAAGACGCGCACTAGCTGACAATATGAAGATCATCGTCTTCACACCCGGCGAAGTTGCTGCTGAGGCTTACAGTGGATACCTGACTGACCGCGCACTCACGGGCAGCATTGCCAAGGCTGTTGGCGGTGCCGTCGTGATGGTCGAGCGTAAGCCTCCCCAGTCATCAACAGATACTTCGAGATGGACCAGACTGACACAGAGCAGACCGTAATTGGGGCACTTCTCTACCGTACACCCTCCAAGACACCAAGAACCTCCAGCAGCACACCATGACAAACGCCGTCTTCGACCTCACCAACCTGGCCCGCACCGTCGACCTGCCCTTCGACACCAACCACAGCAGCAATGCTCCCCAGGCTGTGAGTCAATCGTCTGGTCCGAAGTGATTACCTATTGACATGCGGCTCTAGCCTTGGATCTACACCGGCGGATCGTACTCCGGCATCCTCGCTGCTGCCATCTCCAAGTACGCCCCTGGGACCATCTGGGCCTACCACGCCAGCAGCGGGCCCGTCGAAGCGACATACGATTACTGGAGCTACTTCCTCCCGATCCAGAACGGCATGCCCCAGAACTGCAGCCGTGACTTCAACCTCATGGTCGACCACATCGACACCGTCCTGACCTCCGGAACCGAGGACGAGATCTACTCGCTCAAGGAGAAGTTTGGCCTCCAAGATCTCGCCCACAAGGACGACTTCGCGAGGTACGAAGGCCCTTGCATCCTCGACAGAAGGCACAAAGCTGATATCCCACAGTGCTCTCGTCGGCCCTCTCGGGTACTGGCAGTCAATCCAGCTGTACTCTGGCTACTCCACCTTCTACGCCATGTGCGATGCGGTCGAGGGCGCCACCGGCAACTTCTCAGCACCCAGCGCGGACGGCGTTGGCCTCACCAAGGCACTTGACAACTACGCCAAGTGGTGGAGCTCTGAGTATCTCCCAGGCAGTAAGTGCATCACAAGCCTCTGTCAGCGAACCTGCCTGACCGAATTACAGCTTGCGCATCATACGGCGTCGAAGAGTGGTCGGACCCCATGAACGTCGCCTGTTTCGACTCGTACAACGCCACCAGCCCCATCTACACCGACTGGTCGGCCGACAACGCCTTCGGCCGCACCTGGTACTGGATGACCTGCAACGAGCCCTTCTTCTTCTGGCAGACGTGAGTATTCAGAACTACCTCTGCTCCAAAATGTCCTTCGTTACTGACCCAATCCCAGTGGTGCCCCTGAGGACCGACCCTCCATCGTCTCCCGCTACGTAACCCCCGAATACTACCAGCGCCAGTGCGACCTCTTCTTCCCCCCGCAAGGCGACTTCACCTACGCCTCGAACCGCGGCAAGACCGCCGCCGACCTGAATAAGGCGACGGACGGCTGGTTCTACACCAACACCACTCGTCTGGTTTGGTCGAACGGGTAAGCCGGGCCCTTGATGTCCTGACTCAACCGGGACGAATTCGACTAACCTATCGCAGTGAATATGATCCCTGGCGCTCCGCCTCCGTGTCCAGCGAGCTCCGTCCCGGCGGCCCGCTTCAGTCCCGCCCCGGCGCGCCGGTCCATCTCATCCCCGGCTCCCGCCACTGCAACGATCTGCTTATGAGGAACGGGGACGTCAATGCCGACATGAAGGCTGTCATCACTTCTGAAATTGAGCAGCTGAAGACGTGGACCGAGGAGTTTTACTCTGGCAAGAACAAGACCAGGCGAACCTTTTAAGCGGCTCACCACTAAGCGTAGCGTAGCTGCGAAAGTTGGATATAAACGAGCTGGATGTTTCATGTACATAATTCAGCTTTCATAATGAAATAAGAATGGGCACGAAGCTCGACACTTGGATTGCGCAATGAGGATCCACTGGGTACACACTCGAACGTACTAAACCCTTTCTCATGTCTACATCTTAGTGCTGTTGTACTTCATCAACCACATCCTCCACCTACCAAGTCCTTCCCCGACTTCAATATAGATACCCAAAGCCCCCTCTACCACGGCAAATCAGTCCCATCATAATTCTTAAACTTCCCACTAACCTCCTTCGTCGCCCCATCGATCACCTTCACCATCCCGCTCACGCTCGTCTCGACCGTAATCGCCCCCAAACTCTTCGCATCCGCAACCCCATTCTTCTCCGCCAGCGCCGCCGACATATCCGTCTCCACCAAGCCCGGATGGAAGACAAACGCCGTCACCCACTCCTCCTCCACGCTCAGCCGCTTCACCAGCCAGTTCAGCGTCGCCTTGCTCGCGCCGTACGGGCTCAGCCCCACGCCGGGCGGGAACAGCTTCGCCAGGGTCTCTTGCATGCCGACGCTCCCAATGGCCGAGGAGATGGCCACGAAGACCGGGTTGGCGCTCTTGCGCAGCAGCGGGGCGGTGGCGGCGAAGAGGAGGAGGGGGGCGATGGAGTTCACGTGGAAGTGGTCCAGCGCGGGCGCGGAAGCGGTCTCGCGCACGGGGCCGGAGGTGTGGGAGATGCCGGCGTTGGCGATGACGGTGTCGATGGCGGTGATGGCGTGCTCGTCCTGGAGGGTGGCGACGGCGGCGGCGGGGTCGGTGTCGACGGAGGAATCGATCTTGACGAGGATCAGGGCGGAGGAGGCGCCCTTGGGGAGGGAGGCGAGGGCTTTGGATGAGGAAGAGGAGGGATCGCGGACGCCGGCGATGACGGTGGTGGAGGGACGGGCGAGGAGGGCGGTGACGAAGCCCTTGCCGATGCCGCGGTTGGCGCCGGTGATGAGGTAGGTTTGGTTGGCGGACATGGCGGGTAGTGGGTATTGTATGTTTGTTGGCTGGGATGCTTCTAGAGTGTGAGGCTGAGGTTGAGATGAACTTTGATGTGATGATGGAAGTGTCTTTCGTCTGAAATGATGTCAAGTTGAGAATCTTATATACGTCTTGAAGTTGGTATGAATGCCTTGGTATTTGTAAATGAAGGCACCATCATGAAAGCTTCCACACTTACACCAGACGTCTTCCGCTACACAGAACGACATGGCGCACTTCTCTCGGCGCCGAAGATGGTGGTGGAGAGGATTGATAATCCGGCGTAATGGCATCAATACTGTTTCGGAGCGGGTCTAGGCGGAGTTTGATTCAAGGCGCGGACAGCTGGGCGGGAGAGGCAGTGATCATTAATCAACGGGAACACATCTGAGACCAAAGACCTGGCGTGC